GGAATCAGATTGATTAATCATTCATGTATTCAACAAGCAGTTATTAATTACCTTGTTCATATGACAGACACAGAAAATAGACCAAAGTTACTGGCATGAGTTAATAACTGCCCCATGGAGCTCACAGTCTCATGAAAGAGATAGATGTGTAAACAAATACATTGCAATGTAAAAAGTGCTAAACAAAGGAATACAACAAAGCTTTAAGAGCCCCAAGAAGGGAATACCATACATCTAAGAGAATTGAAAGATGTCACAGAGAAAGTATTTTATACAACTAGATTGCGAAGAAAGAGTAGAGTCCTGTCTGACAAATAACTGGGAGGAGGATGTTTAGACACAGGAAACGATGCCAGGAAGAGTTTATGACAGAGAACAGTGGGACCAAGGATCTTGGACTTTATGCATGTGGGAATTTGTTGAATGTGTTTAGACAGGGAGATCACTTAGTATATTTGTGTTCTCTTAGGTAATTCTAAACGCTTGTGGGGGAAATTGGAGGAGTAAGAGATGGAGGCCAGGAGATTGATTTGGAGGCTAGTGCAAAAATTTAGATGACTTTTAAGTCTAGTGAGAACCCAGACTAAATTGTTGACTTTGCAAAGAAGTAAGAAGGAAAAAAACGTAAGAACTGATCAACACTATGTTCTGAAGAAATGTCTAAACTCTACATGTGCGCATTGTATTTTTGTTTTTAACTGTAGACATGGGATGTAGAGCTGGAAAGGTCTGCAGAATCCTGGGCTGAAACGTGTGTGTGGGAACACGGACCTGCAAGCTTGCTTCCGTCAATTGGGCAGAACTTGGGAGCACACTGGGGAAGGTATTGTAAAGCACAGCTTTTTGTTTCTGAAAAAATAAGTGTTTGAATGAAATGATTATTAATTCATCATTGCAAATTTGCGAAAACTTGGTGCCTGAAAGAAAAACAAGTAATCACTAGACAAATAATAAAAAAAAAAAACACAGAATACTCAGCAGTTTTTTACTTATTTTTATTTTAAATCATTGATATATTAGTAATGTAATAAGCATAAATATTTAAGATTAGTAACGTAAACAAAAATATCTTTCTTCCGAACTTTACCGATCTATTTTGCAATATTTGATTTTACATTTTCTCCAACCTAACTTACTTTGTGATTATTTTCTTCCTAATAGATACAGGCCCCCGACATTTCATGTGCAAGCATGGTATGACGAAGTGAGAGATTTCACCTACCCATACGAACATGAATGCAACCCGTATTGCCCATTCAGATGTTCTGGTCCTGTGTGTACTCATTATACACAGGTATGTTTTCGGTGCATTATACACCATTCCTCCAAATTGAGTTAGTGTAATTATGGGGGAACTTAGACTACTGAACTTGAGTCTTTCTTATTTCATTTGGTATGGTTATTAAAAAATAACATGGTTTTTGATTATATGGAATAGGCTTACAAATTTCTCTAAACAATAAAAGTAATTATCATTAAAAAGCCCAAACATCTACTTAAAAAGACATTATTTCAAATATTTTCCACATGAAACATTTTAAATATGGCCCTGATAAATGTATATGGAGAAAAATTTATTATCTTCAGAGTCAAAGTTTTATTCCAAAGACTAAAAATATAGTTTTAGTTACCAGTTATGTCCAATCTTTACATGTGTGCAACATTTATTTATTTTTTTATATTTAGTGTTCACATTTGGAATGTTCTAAACTAAATCAAACAACTAAAGGCAGATTCAACTAGATAAAGGTCAACACTGATCTCAGTTTCTAGAATTTCTATGACCTATGGTCAATGAATGTAAAGCAGACATACCGTTCTGTATGCTTTTACATGGGACAAGATTAAGATCAGCATCAAACTACCTAAAAACTACTGGCACAATGAAAAGAAGGTGTTGTATAAGGAATTTGAACCCTTGAATTTCTGCTCCACTACTTTCAGGATGTGAGATTCTGTTCCTTGGTAGGGCAAGTTTCTTCATAGAAATATTAATTTGACATTTAGGTTTGCGAGGATGTTACTTTTGAATTATTTAGTAAATTTGCATTTGAAAATGCTTACATTTTATAGCCAGATACAGTTATTTACCTGTAGATCTCTTTCTTAAGATGAATTAGGTACTACCCAAAGTCTCTGGAAAAATGCCCTTTTTGATATTGCCTTAGTTTTTTGAATGACAAATGTTGGTTTCTCAAGTTCAGATTTTCTACATTGTTCTCTCAGATATGTTGTCTTATTTTATCTCAACCTGCTTTTTCTGAGCCTTTCTTTTCTCTGATGTAGGTGGTGTGGGCAACCAGCAGCAGAATAGGCTGTGCCATTAATTTGTGTCATAACATGAACATCTGGGGACAGATATGGCCCAAAGCTGTCTACTTGGTGTGCAATTACTCCCCAAAGTAAGTACAAAAAACTCTACGTTCACACATAAATTTTTCTTAACAAAATGAAAATAACTTTATATTCTGGATTTTTTTCCCATTTTCAATGTGTGTTATTAAGTGTATTGTTTTAATTCAGTTTATTTAATATGATAACAGTTATAGTTACCTAATACATAAAATCAATGCTTAAAGGGAATATGAAATTTAAAAATATGATCTTTGTGAAGAAGGGAATCTTGTTTTTTAGTTTTACTCATTAAACTATACTATTCCATAAATATTTAATAAATTTGATTTATTAGAGATTGACAGCTGAGAAATGTATTTTCATCTGTGTAAAGACCATTTAAGTGATTACATTGAAAATATTATATAATCAGACTCAGGATCAAATTTAAGTCTAAGATATATTTTACTTAAAACAAATGGAATATAGGTGAATATATAGCAGAGTTTGGTTTTCTACCAAAGTTATATTTTATAATTTTTAACTACATATATGGCAAATTTCTTTGAAAATTTTCAAAAGAATGAGGCAATAATTTAAATTTAAACCCAGTAACCAAAAAAACTCTGTACTAAAATAAATAAATGTCTTAAATCCCCACACAAAATCATTACTTATATTAGAATATAGTGTTATTTTGCAATATCTTATAAATTATGCTGTTAGACGGCCCCTTGACATTTAGGTGTGTGAGGATGTAACTTTTAAATTATTTAGTAAATTTCTTAATCATCTCTCAAAGGGGAAACTGGTGGGGCCACGCACCTTACAAACATGGACGACCCTGTTCTGCTTGCCCGCCTAGTTTTGGAGGGGGCTGTAGAGAAAATCTGTGCTACAAAGGTAAGTGCTATTGTATTGTAATATTCACTTTGATTTATATTTTAATCCAGCCTATGCATTACTTGTGTTAAAAAAGTCAAAGTGTACTTAATTATTACTTGAAAAGTTTCCAGAACTCTATTTCAAGTATTTCGATAAAACCTTTTAAAAATATTTATATTATTAAGTGTGTTATACCCGTATGAGTTTAAAAGAAAATTTCATGATTATTTCAGATAACTACTTCTAATTCTACTTTGAAATTATCCCAGAAGGACAAGCGTATTGATATTTTAAAAGTCATCTTGTATTGTTGACTAGAGTTATTTCCATAACTGTCATCATTTTTGAAGGATTTAGCAACTTAACACAATTTTTAGCACTTAAAAATTTTTAAATACCCCGTTGTATATCTTATTGAACTATGCTCAATGAATTATACTGATTCTACACTTCTTACTGCAGACTACGCAGTTTCTCATGCTACAATAACAAAAAAATATAATAGTAATGTAAAATTATTATAACAGTAGTACTCTCAAATGCATCTGATGTCTTGAAAAGTACATACAAATACAGTGTCCTATTTATAGCACATAAAGATAAACTGTATTTGACAAAGCTTTGTGAAAAGTCATGTTCTTGGGCATTCAAGTGAAAATTATTTACTGCCTTGTGCTTTTTTCTTAATGATTATTAAATGGGGAAAAATGTAGAGTGATTGTATTAGAAAATATTTGAATAATTACAGCCCTTTTTCAGTGCTCATAATGAGATGTGTTTCTTTTTTTTTTCCCTAATGACTGAATGCTCATTAGCTATAATGAGTAGACAAGAAGGACTCAGATATGTCCCTCTGTTGTATAAGCCATTTTTAAATTCCTAGAAGCATTTGCAGCATTCTTTCATTATATCAGTGTCTACCCCAAAACCTTCAATCTACCTGCTCCTTCATAAATGGCCACTATATTTTATTTAAAGCTGACTTTCCTCTGCTTCTGATTTTATACTTCCTTTTTTTCTAGGTTCTGAGTTCTTGGGCACACATGAAAACAATAACCCTCTCCAAAATGTGCCATTGTCAAGCCCTTGCTATAGGTCAATCTGGAAAAAAAATTAAATTCAAATTTGAAATTATTCTCCATTATCAAGTTTAAATTTCTGTACATTGAATTTCCTTCTAGAAGAGAAAAATCTTTCCATGGAAATGGATATTTTAGTAAATAACAGGCATGTCAATCCTTCTTTAGACGAAATGTACATTTGGGAGAATTTTAAATGTGATTCTTCTGAAAATATTAAGAATACAATTTCATTTGAGAATACAAATGCAATTTTACTAAACCCTGACTTTATTAGATCACTGTGTAGATTTCATAGTGTCATTGTGAAAACAAAACACTGATAATATGTTGAAATATAAGCAAAGTTCGTTTAAAAGTGATTCCATGAAATATTAGCCAAACATTAACATAAATGAATCAAGGGTTCAAAGGCTCATGTGTGCATTTCATTTACTCCAATGGAATGCTTCAGATCACCACCTTAAGCCAAAACCTGTGCCAAAAAACAGTACCAGTTTTTCTAGTTTTAAATGTTAAATAGGAATATCAAAGTATATTATTACCTGATAATTTCTGCAAATGTAAAATGGCATTGATATTTCTTAAATCTATTTTCTCTAACAGAAGGGTCAGACAGGTATTATCCTCCCCGAGAAGAAGAAACAAATGAAATTGAACGGCAGCAGTCACAAGTCCATGACACCCATGTTCGGACAAGATCAGATGATAGTAACAGAAACGAAGTAATAAGCACACAGCAAATGTGTAAGACCTCTGCATTATTTATAAAAATTATATGGCATATCC